GACGGCAAACCCTATATGACACAACAAGATGACGATGATAATGATAATGATGATAATGATGATGATGATAATGATGATATTGATGATGATCACACACAGATGGCTTTTACAAGATATGTTCAATTAAACTTATAAACAAGAATATGTTTTTAACAGAACAGCACAGACCAGCTGCCATCTTTAAGTGGAAGGCTGGCTAATCGTTAGTGGCCACACAGTACCGTGTCTTTTAAATTGATTGTTGTATCGCAGCGTCTTTCTGGTTCCCTTTAGATACTGGCTTTTCAACTGTTGGCCAGAGGGCCGAATTCAGCCAACAGAGGCCTAGCAAATGGCCCGCGGATCGTTGCAAATTATGTCGTATCAATGATCATTCTGTGCTAGGGCTGTGACCTCCGGCCCACGACGACCACAATTTTCAAAACTTAGGTCCCTGGGGTGAACTCAGTTGAACAGGCCTGTACTAGGCGCTGGGTTTTAGTATTCACTGTTGGCTTGGGATATTGTGGGTCAGGTCCTTTTAAGGCAGGTATTCCTCTTGCTGACATTATGTAAGGGAAGTGATTGTGCCTGTTTATCCATACATGGATATCATCATTAAATATATTTGTTTACACATTTGTTCCTTCAAATGAATTATTATATTTATGTTTCATTAGCACAGTAATGTTCGATTATTATTATGTTCTTACAATAGGATTAAAGACTTTGATGTTTCCGTCCACAGCAAACTGTGGAGTGGTGTGGGGAGTATGTGGGGGGGGGGGGTGGGGGGGGGGGTTGAATCTCACAAGGCTTTCTTGGTTTTTTTTGCACTCTAGTATTTACAGCCATTTTTTTAAACCCGCGGCGGGAAGTTGAGCGAGAGATCGATATTCTGAACAAGTTACAATGTATTGGAATGAACCATCTTTAGATGCACAAGATACCCACATCTGCTGGGGTCTTTAAATCGCTTGTAAGGAATATTTGAAAGACTGTACGCGACAACCATTTTCATCTCATCATCTGCGTCTTGTCTGCATCCTATGGTTTCTGTCTGCATGTAACTTTGATGATTTGTGCAGCTGAATGACAGTTTTTCGAGTTGCACCCAATTTTGTTAAGTTTATTTTGTTAAAAGTGCCCGATTGTTACATTTAGGGCCCTCAGCTTGTTTGGTGCTTCCTCCTCTGTCCTGCTGCATCATTATATGTCGCAGAGGGCTTGCAGTCACTCCACTCAATTCGATATCAGACTGAATCCAGTCCACCTTTATGGTGTCTCTCATTACCGTTCATTTCATGGTTTCTTTAGCATGTCCTCGCTCTCTCCCCCTCTTTAGTGCATGTCTGCCGATTCTCAGCTCATTTATTCCCAGAATGTGTCCCATAAAGCGCCATCTTCTCTGTCTTATAACTGTTGAAAGCAGTGGTTGCCCAGACATTTCGCTCACTTCTTCACCTATCTTTGCTTTCAAATGCATTTAACTCCACCCCCCCCCCCCCCTCTATGTCTTTAGTCGTTCTCCAGCGTTTGCTATTTGTAAAAATGAAATCCGAACCAGTCACCACCACTTCTGCATTTTACCACAACTGGGAGAACTTTCTTTCACATCACTTCTTTATGCTTTTTCTCGTCTGCTTGTTCTCTGACCCACTCACACACATAAACACACACACACACACACACACACACACAAATATTTGAGCATACACACACAATTTTAACTCACAACACTGTTAACGTTATACAAACAAATATAGAATATAATAAAATAGTGTAAATATCTTAAAAAGTAAAGTTAAAATATTTATGTGTAAAAACGCCAAGCTTTTGATAAAAAGGGAAGGATGTGAAGGGATTACTTATCACAATTTGATACAACGTGAAAATATTTTCAGAACAAAAAAAAATATAATCACAATTGGCGTTATGTAATCTTCAGCAACACACTCACTGAAATGCAGAAAATAAGCTGTTTTCATTGAACTGCAGAAGATAAGCTGTTTTCATTGAACTGCAGAAAATAAGCTGTTTTCATTGAACTGCAGCAGATAAGCTGTTTTCAATAATGCATTCTTGGCTAATAACTTAAAGTGCATTAATAAACCCGTTTAACCAAAGAGCAGGAAAATCGCCACAAATACACAGATCCGTCCATTAATATTTCACGTAGGAAAACCAGATCTCCTGAGTAACATTTTATTATCTGCTGTAAAAATGGCTTTAACGTATATCAAAGCCTAAACAAGATAGATTAAAAAATAAAAAAAATAATACAGCCCAAACGCCAGGTGTAAGTTTCCTTTTAACAGTCTTTGATTTGAAGCCAATATTGTCTCATCTTACACTTCTTCTGTAAAAATAAAGTCCATTCGTTTTTACACTTTACAACATGAGGCGATGGTTATAGTGTCCTCACTTTGTCAAAAATAAGTAGAACTTCACAGGTTAGCATGCACAGCAGGGGTCCATCATTCATCAGTAGAAAGATTTCTAGTCGACAACTGTTTCGTCCCATTACTTTCTATACAATCTCGGAAGGTAGGCCCGACCTGGGTCATGAAGCCAGACCTCAATCTTCCCCTGATGCACTTAATCGGACTCTCGGACAGGGCTGCATGGTTAGTGCTGTCCATACGAACTGTGCAGGTGAGGTTTCTATTTTTGCCCCTGAGGCTCACCTAAGATTTGAGCCAGGGATTCTTCTTTGCAGCCAAGCGTTCTAATCGCTAGGCCAGCCGTCAAATAGTGTATAAGCAATGGTGTAAATGGGAATGACTCAGGTCGAGCAGATTTCGAGAAGTAATTAAACACGAAACAATCGATGACTAGAAAGAAGAAGAATACACACAAAATAATGTCTAGAATAAGAAGCAAATTTAACACAACACAAAATATGACTAGAATTACTATACAGCTAAATGCTGAGAAGGAGATAAATGAAAGTATATAAGGAGCAAATAAGCAACTCCAGCAGGATGAAAAAAATTGAAAGGAACCTCGTTCACGCCTTTTGGGCATATAGGGCAAGATCTAAAGTTTATAGAACAATCGGCACTGAATGGGTGATGTAGTCAGCATCACACAGGCCGTCTTTACTTCCCATGACTGTACTTAGTACCCATTCAAGCCTGAGTCGACCTGGGAGCCAAGGTCATTTTCTGAAGAAAAAAAAAAAAAAAAACTAGGCGCCGTCTGGACACGATCCACGACCTAGTAATCCGCAGGCGAATTACTCCTGTCCGTTGTCGGGCCAGTCATTTTAACGCATTACCCGCCAAATAATCTGCATGTTCGTTGTCTTGAACCCTGCATTGCCTGGTGCGAAGATAAAGGTTGGGCGTGTTATCTGCGATGCATTTACTGAGCGTATACTTTCACGTCTGGTGAAACCAGTCTGGATTTTCCAGAGTATAGTCACTGAGTCACTCAGTGTTCACGCGAATGTGAACTCATGACTGCCCATCAGTGCCAGGGACCTTGTTACAGCCACAGCTTCCTTGGTTTCATAATAAAGTTTGAAAGCCCCATTACTAGCTACACAACCGGGGACCTACTAGATACCCCTGTGCAACAGTGAGAGACATTTCATTTGATTCACGCTGGCACAGGAACGGAGCAAAAATGGAGAAACTCGATTGCGGTGATGTTGAAACCTCGACCAACTAACTGGATACCCACATTCTACGTGATCACAAACGTCGGTGTTAATACCTTGCTCTGATCATCATCATTGCCACCACCAACACCACAACCACCATCATCATTTTCGTGTTTCGTGTCTTTAGGCGTAGGTGGCTTCCTTACACGATCACCAGAATCACGGACCAGGACAATGCTTGATCTTGCCTCGCCCCCATCGATTTGGCCAATTATTCCTGGTATTTATCTTTTTCTCCTTGCTCTGTTCCCGTCAATCTTCCCAGTTTGAAGAACCCTGTTTTGTAAAGCCAGATCCACCTGTGTGAACACACTGACGCAAAAAAACATTGATAAACATATTTATGCTTTTTTCCCCTAGACTCTATGTTATGGCAGTGACTACCCACAACTTACATCCGTGCATGATGTGAATTTGTTAAAATATACAGGCAAAAACTATTACTAAGAGAGTAATAAAAACAACAAAATAATAACAATAATATTACTCTAAAAAATATAGCTAGTTTATTATAACTAGTAGCGGCAGCAAAAGCAGTATCAGGTTTGGCGGAAAATGTAACGGTCACAGCAACTGGTGGTAGTGATAGTCGTCGTAGTAAGAGGATAAGTAGCAGTAGTAATAGTAGTAATAGTAGTGGTAGTAGTTGTAGGTAGTAGTAGTAGTAGATTAGTAAGACAAGCAGTGGTTTTAGTAGTAGCAGCAGCAGTAGCGCTAGGAGCGACAGAATCAGTATTTTTTCTAATACTATGACAAGTAGTAGTTTTAGCAGCAGTAGCAGTGGTGTTACTAAGAGTAATAGTTGCGATTGCAGTAACTGTAGTAATAATTGTAATATAAAACACAGTAGTATTACTGGTAGCGTTTTTGTTAAAAGCTCGATTACCAGTAAAATACATGAAATTTAGTATTACCTTTCCCACAGCATTTTTCTGGGGATCTGACAAGTGTTAGCAAACATAGTCTTCTGCCACATTATGTACCGCCCTTTAACTGCAACTGTCACTACAAAGAAAATTCTCACAAGCTCCTCTACGTTTTCATTATACAAATCAGTAGGGCGTATAAATGTATACGCTTGGCATTGGTAACACTGCACAACCAACAAGGCTCAAATGAAATTGGCATGAAACGATGAGGTATGCGATCACAAGGTTTTGTTTTAGTGGAGGCAACCAGGGTAAGCGTAAGGTTTGACAACTGCAACAAGTCCTTGTACAGAACGCACGAATACTTGACCTGGATTGATTTAGCACGTCCGTGTCTATCCAAATCACGGGCAGTTCAGTACTCAAGAGTTCAGATTTCGCCTTTACTGCATTTTGCTGTTTTTAAGCTTATGTTGAAGCAGCTGTCACGTGACAGTCACATATTCTTCAGTCACGGGTGTGGATTTATTATTGCTTGCAGGAGAATGTAAAGCCTCACTGTGTTGAAAGTCTGCATCGTGGTTGGACCTTGAGCTGTGTAGACGGCGTCTGGATCTTCCAGTCCGACCAGGGGGGAGACAGAAATCGGCTCCACTGTTCTCTTCATCCTTTGGAGGCATTGTGACTTCCACTCGAGGAATACTATCCACATTGACGTTCCTTGACGAATTGTTGCCAGTGTTAGAATTTATTGCTCCTGGAAGAACTGGAGTGGACACACAACGGGCAATAACAGCAAACGGACTTCGAGATCCAGGTGACAGACTCGATCTGCTAGGACCTTCAGGTGTAGTTCCGGTCAGTTTATTTTTGATCTTCTTCCTTAGAGACGCTCTTTTATGTTGTGGTTTCGCGTCGATGATGATATCATTGGCGAGATCAGGAAGCGAGTTGGATCTCTCCAGTCTTTGATGAGATCTCTCTGCTTCCATTGCCTTCAGATAAAAGCTTTTCGTGTTGGAAAATTTAGCAATGGCGTCTGCGCAGTCTCGTCGACCACAGAAAGCTGCCCATTCCTCAGCACACAGTTTTCGCCCCTGGTCTCGAAGCTTTGGATCTGCCCCTGTAAAAACAAAAATAGAATGTACATCAGTCAATGACAGCTTTAGAAGTTCATTATTATTTTGTTCTTTCAGTGGTAGTTTTTCAAACGCCCAAGAAAAACCATCGTCAAAGGGGGAAGGGTGGGGTGGGGGTAAAAAAAGGGGGGGGGGAGGGGGAGGCACATGAGTGTTGCTCACCTTCTTTGGCGATCAAAGTTTGTTATGTATCTATTCTGGCATGGGCCACATAGGATTTCCACCGGTACCGCATAGTTTGTCTTGTTTGGTCGCCAAGGAGTAGGGACAATTGAGTGGGTGGGGGGTTGCTTATGCTTTATGACCTTATTTTGTCTAGACTGATGTTTGCCAAAGTGGGGCTACCGGGGTGGGGAAGTAGGGTGAAACGGTCCGGCCCTAACTGCCTGGATTATTATTTTTTGGCGGGGGTGGAGGGGAGGTAGCAGCCCCAGGTGCAGCTGGGAAGCATTGGATGAAACCAGGACAGCTGGAGAGAGAGAGAGAGAGAGAGAGAGAGAGAGAGAGAGAGAGAGAGAGAGAGAGACACACACAGAGAGAGAGAGAGAGAGAGAGAGAGAGAGAGAGAGAGAGAGAGAGAGAAAGAGAGAGGGAGCCACCATTTTGATAAACTTTCTACATGTCTTAGTATAGTGTTACAGATTGAAATCGCAATGGCTGTTGAGTTTTTCAAACTAAACAAGGAAATTATTTTATAACCAGTCATATTCATACTTCAGGTTAAGGTTTGAGGTTTGAACAACGGATCAACATCATGGCACACGGGTAGAAACCCATAAGTGCTCCGTTCTTCTTCTAACTCCTGTCTTAGGCCTAAGAAGCTTAGCACAGTGCACAAGCTCTGTAACTCCGGCGAGGATCCTGAAATACTTTGGGTAGATTTTTAACTGTAAATTTAGCCCGGGCAGCAACGTTAGGCTACTCGTTTCGACTTCCAACTGAGAAGGGATTTTTTTTTTTACGTGAGCAACAATACACACGTCCGATCTTACAACCAAGAGACCAGGGACAATTACTAGAAGTCCACATGAAAAAATCCCAGACTTGACCGGGGCTTAACCTAGACCTCAAGCACTCGAGGCGGACGCCATGCCTCGAGACCACGCAGCCCTCTTGGAAATAGTCTGCAAGAATGTTTATTACATGACTCCAATCAGTTATCGTGTGCGGACATCATGACGACAAAATCCGACCAATTTGGCCCTTGGGGAAACCTCATATTGACATGTCTGTTGGGAGGCTGCCCCTCAAGACCGAAATGCACGGCGAGCAACTCTACACAAGGGCACGGCTACATGTGTAGCAAACAGAACCAGAACAGCCGGACTGATTAAGAAAAGGATGGATAGAAAGGCGACTGCAGGAGATCCCCTCCCTGGCACAACGCTCATTCCTTGTCCTCACTGTTCGAGAACTTTTCGGGTCAGCATCGGCCTGATCAGTCACATCGTAATCATACTTGATGAAAAAGAGTTGTCATCATTATCTTGATAAACAACACACACACACAAAACCTGCCGTGGCAGAGTCTGCGAGATCTATACAGACCACATGTGCTCTGAATTTACTGTACCCAATTCTTAGTCTGAATAGCCTAAGCGTTTTAATATTTTGCCAACCGCTGGTGTGCAATTTTTATTGCCTTCAGTTTAGTTCATAAGTGTTTGGAGTACAGGAATTTTAAGAAATTAAATACACCAGAAGTGGCCAGACTTTTAATAACTTCTGACCAAATGTACGCAGTTAGTAAACTCCTCCTGCGCTGGTTGAGATTCATAAAGAAAAAAGATAGTCTCGCATCAAAAGTGGCTGATGAACGTAAAAGTACCTGAGGGTACTAAGAGGGAATTTTATCTTTTGGTTTAATTTATAATTAACGAGTGGTTTAAATCCATTTTAAGACTGGCTATATCTTTTTTGACATTAACTCTGGTTCGAAAAAAAAAAAATATAGGAAATGCCAACCATAAAGAAATCGAAACAAACAGCTCAATATAAGTTTTTTCATCACGAATCCGTGCGACAAAAAAAGTTCAGTAGATGTTATCACACATTGTACTGTTGCATCTAACAATTCATTAAGTTCAGTAGATGTTATCACACATTGTACTGTTGCATCAAACAATTCAGCAAGTTTAGTAGATGTTATCACACATTGTACTGTTGCATCAAACAATTCAGTAAGTTCAGTAGATGTTATCGCACATTGTACTGTTGCATCAAACAATTCAGCAAGTTCAGTCACACATTGTACTGTTGCATCTAACAATTCAGTAAGTTCAGTAGATGTTATCACACATTGTACTGTTGCATCAAACAATTCAGTAAGTTCCGTAGAGGTCATCACACATTGTACTGTTGCATCAAACAATTCAGTAAGTTCAGTAGATGTTATCACACATGACATTGTACTGTTGCATCAAACAATTCAGTAAGTTCAGTAGATGTTATCACACATTGTACTGTTGCATCAAACAATTCAGTAAGTTCAGTAGATGTCATCACACATGACATTGTACTGTTGCATCAAACAATTCAGTAAGTTCAATAGATGTTATCACACATTGTACTGTTGCATCAAACAATTCAGTAAGTTCAGTAGATGTTATCACACATTGTACTGTTGCATCAAACAATTCAGTAAGTTCAGTAGATGTTATCACACATTGTACTGTTGCATCAAACAATTCAGTAAGTTCAGTAGATGTTATCACACATGACATTGTACTGTTGCATCAAACAATTCAGTAAGTTCAGTAGATGTTATCATACATTGTACTGTTGCATCAAACAATTCAGTAAGTTCAGTAGATGTTATCACACATGACATTGTACTGTTGCATCAAACAATTCAGTAAGTTCCGTAGATGTTATCACACATTGTACTGTTGCATCAAACAATTCAGTAAGTTCAGTAGATGTTATCACACATTGTACTGTTGCATCAAACAATTCAGTAAGTTCAGTAGATGTTATCACACATGACATTGTACTGTTGCATCAAACAATTCAGTAAGTTTAGTAGACGTTATCACACATTGTACTGTTGCATCAATCAATTCAGTAAGTTCAGTAGATGTTATCACACATGACATTGTACTGTTGCATCAAACAATTCAGTAAGTTCAGTAGATGTTATCACACATTGTACTGTTGCATCAAACCATTCAGTAAGTTCAGTAGATGTTATCACACGTTGTACTGTTGCATCAAACAATTCAGTAAGTTCAGTAGATGTTATCACACGTGACATTGTACTGTTGCATCAAACAATTAAGTAAGTTCCGTAGATGTTATCACACATTGTACTGATGCATCAAACAATTCAGTAAGTTCAGTAGATGTTATCACACATTGTACTGTTGCATCAAACAATTCAGTAAGTTCAGTAGATGTTATAACACATTGTACTGTTCCATCAAACAATTCAGTAAGTTCAGTAAATGTTTTCACACATTGTACTGTTGCATCAAACAATTCAGTAAGTTCAGTAGATGTTATCACACATTGTACTGTTGCATCAAACAATTCAGTAAGTTCAGTAGATGTTTTCACACATTGTACTGTTGCATCTAACAATTCAGTAAGCTCAGTAGATGTTATCACACATTGTACTGTTGCATCTAACAATTCAGTAAGCTCAGTAGATGTTATCACACATTGTACTGTTGCATCAAACAATTCAGTAAGTTCAGTAGATGGTATCACACATTTTACTGTTGCATCAAACAATTCAGTAAGTTCAGTAGATGTTATCACACATTGTACTGATGCATCAAACAAATCAGTAAGTTCCGTAGATGTTATCACTCTTTGTACTGTTGCATCAAACAATGCAGGAAGGTTAACTCATGATGTACGTTTATGATACAAAGATTAGCAAAAGTTATCACATCATGAACAATTGCAAGAAATGACTGGATTAGGTAACAAGACCATATCCGTTTTGGCCAAACAATTACACAGAAAAAAAAGGCATATTCTCCTGCTGCTTCTTGTCTTTTTGCTCCTACTCCACTTCTTTTTGTCGTCTTCCTCCTCATACAACTACTACTGCTATTGCTGCTGCAGCTTCTTTTGCTGCTGCTGCTACTACTGCTGCTACTGATACTGCTGATGCTGCTGTTCCTGCTGCGTCTATTACTGTCGCTGTTGCATGTACATAAAAACACACAAAAGGAAGCCATCAGAAGTACCGACACACACAGTCCGAAGCTAAAATGACAAATCATTGTGTCCTCCTCATCGATGAACAGTAATTCTTGTAGCGGACCGTTTGCGTTGGCGATTCTGATGGCTATCTAATTTTTTAATTTTTTATTTTCGTGTGTTTGCAGTTACCTTTGTCGAGACTGCAGTCTGTCAATTCTAGCATAAGGAACAGCGAGCGGCAATCTTTGCTGGCACAGAAGCGGAGAAACTAGGGATGAACCTTTTGCGGTGAAGTTGGAACTGTGATTCACTGATTAACTAACTGCTGCCGCTGCTGCTATTGCTGCTGCTATTACTTCAGCAGCTGCTGTTACTGCTGCTGCTACTATACTACCCCTACTCCTGCTGCTGCTGCTACTACTACTACTACAACTACTACTTCACGTTTTCATTGTAAGCCCCCTTTCATTCTAATCAAGTTTCATTTGCGTCCCGTTTACATTCGGCGAAGGTTCACCTCTATTTTGTACCCAGTTTCATTTGCTTTCAGGTTGAAAAGAGGAAACTCCTGGATGAGTCAGGCTAAAGACATTATTAAACAAGTTTGTTCAATTGAGGAGATAGAACCTGGTCAGTGCCAGCAGACTTAAGTATTTCCTTTTCAGCCTGCATAAAAGTGGCTAGAGATTGCAAACAACAATTCACGTTGGTGGTTGAGGCAAAAGTGAAAGCCTTATTATTGAAAATTCTCCTGACGGTGGTGCAGTTATCTTCACTGACAGATCAGTCATTCGATACGTACAAGGTTCATTGGCTTTCACGGTTCTGGTTC